CCCCCTCCTCTGGGGAAGGGTTGACCCACCTGGAGCAAAAGCGCAGCTTCCAGACAGAAACAGACACACGCAGAACCTCAGTAAACCCGAACAGGAAACCGGTCTCCTCTTCCCCACAGATCCAGCTCTTTTCTCCCCCCCCCCCGCTTTTTCTGTGCTCCAGTTGCATTTTATACAATATTAATAATACCCGTTGCTTTTTTTAAAAAAAAGGGGGGAGGGAAGAGAGAAAGACTTCCAACCTTTTAAGGCTTCTGACATTGCACGCTCAAAACCCATATTTCACGTGTCTTGTTCTGTTTTAAGTTCAGTGCATTTAACAGGACCCTAGAGAGGATCGTGTGGTGAAGATTTCTCTTCCCTCTTTGACACCTGGAGAAAAAGAGGCAGGCAGGCAGGGAGGGAGGCGGCGTGTGTGTTGGGAGGGGCGCTTCTTTAAAAGCCCTGGACTTCTAGAAGCCCTGCCAGGAGACCCCCTCCTCCCTTTCTGTCCCGGGGCCTCATCCTGCCTGCCTCACTGGCTGCTGAGCCCCTTCTTTTCCTGATGGCTCGACTCCAAGCCCTCGGCCTTCCTCGACCTCCTCCTGGCATCTAATTACTGTACCTAATTTATCGGCGCAGGATGGAGGACGATCCGAGCTGATTTGGCGATGACTGACAGCTTTTCAAATCGCCCTAAAATGTCGTGTTCTTCCCCGACTAGGACACACGATTGGCGGGGGGGGGGGGAGAGTGTTGCACAAGGAAGGCGAAGCTGGGCGGGCTGGGATGGAGGATTCGACCCTGCGCTGCTCCAGAATAAACTTCCTCCTGGGATAGAAGCCACGCAACCCACCTATACGATTTAGCACCTTGTTTGTAATTCATTCATCCATTCATTAGCAGCAGCCTGGGCGTTTCCACGCCGAATTACGGCTTCCATTCCATTCGCGAGCTGTTATCCTGATTGCAAAAATGGAAAAGGAGAGACACTCTCGGTTATTGTCTCAATTTATTCCTGCGAGTGGGGCGGGAAGGACCCTTCTCTTCCATAGCCGAATCTTACCCTGGTAGGAAAAGAAACTTTGTGCAGAGCAGAGTTGGGGGGGAGGGAGGGAGGGAGGGGTTAGAGGAAGGAAGGAAGGAAGAAGAGGCGAGAGGAAGATCTTAGCCTTCCTTATTATTAACCTTAACTTCTTCTTCTTCTTCTTCTTCTTCTTCTTCTTCTTCTTCTTCTTCTTCTTCTTCTTCTTCTTCTTCTTCTTCTTCTTCCTCTTCTTCTTCCTCTTCTTCTTCTTCTTCTTCTTCTTCTTCTTCTTCTTCTTCTTCTTCTCATTCGGGCCGCTCCTAGCACAAAACTGTTTCGTTCGGATGTAGGGTAAATTATTTTTGTTATTGTTGCTGCTGTTGCTGTTATGGTTATCATTAAAAGCATTTAAGAACTCTCTTGCACAAAAGGGCGAAAACACCTAACTGGAGACGAGGAAACTCAGCGCTGCAGCTGCCTGGCGTCTGCTAGGCGCTGGTCCGGGAAGCCAGAGCTGAGAGTCCCCCTCCGAGGCCTTTGGGCACCTCGCGGGCTTCTGCGCACCCGCCTTTTCCCCGTTTCCCTGACATGGGAGCTTGGCGCCCCATTGACACGCGATGTCCCCTCACTGCCTTGTTGGGTCTGGGCGTACAACGGGCCTATCACCGCAGCGGAGAAACCGGAGCTGACTCTACAGTCCGCTTTCAATCCGGAGTTAGGGTTTGTGCCAGGGAGCTGCCTCCCCTTGTAAGCCGCTGCCTAGGCTGGAAGAATGGGAGGGGCCCCCGGGGGTCTCCCCCCTGCCCCGATTCCCTTTGGCATCCCAGGCAAGCAGACAGACAGACGGAGGGACCACCTGAAACCCGGCAATTAGCAGGGTCTTCCGCCTCCCTCGGTGGAAACCTCCCTTTGTTTGGCTTCTGTCGCGGGAGCGGGCCTGGCGTTTGGGGACTGCGAGGCGGCAGATGGCCCTGGCTGGGCCGGGCGGGCGCTCACCTGTCGCCTCCCACCAGGTGGAGGGGGGTGGCTGTCTGAGGAGGGGCTCCCCTTGGAAAAAAGGTATTTGAAATAATAGTAGTAGTAGTAATAAAAACAACAACAACGATTAATAGATTTTTGCTGGTGGCACTGATGCTGCTGCTGCTGCTGCTCCGGTCCTGAGTGATGTGAGCGTGGCGCTGGGATGTCAGGCGCGATCTTGCCAGGCATCCGGCGTGCTTACAATCCATCCTTTCCACGCTGGGTGTCTCTTCTTGTGCTCGCACTTCACTTAAGCAGATAATGAGAGTGAGGGGTGGGTGGGAGAGGGAGCCGGTGGGGGGAGAGGAGGGCTTTCGGGGGCCCCTCATCCCTCTTAAATTATAGCCCTTGTGTTGCTGTTTCCAGGCATTAAATCAATCTAATTACATAAAATATAGACTCCAGTCCCTCTGAGATCGTTAGCGGGGCCTGAGGCCGGGACCCTGCCCTGCTTGGAGGGACTCGATTGAGCAGGCTTCGCGCAATGGGCGCTCCGGAGCCGGTCCAGGGTTCCTCGGGATGCGCTGCTCCCCGGACACATAAGGTGCGCGAGCATCTAGCAAATCGACACAACTCCCAGGCAAGAAGAGAGGGCAGCTGCCTTAGAAGCGCAGAAGTGTAGAGTGGGAAGGGGCCCTGGGGGTCGTCTAGTCCAGTGTTTCCCAACCTTGTGCCTCCAGCTGTTTTTGAACTACAACTCCCATCATCCCTGACTAGCAAGACCAGTGGCAAGGGATGATGGGAATTGTAGTCCAAAAACAGCTGGAGGCACAAGGTTGGGAAACACTGGTCTAGTCCAACCCCCTGCAATGCAGGAATCTCAACTAAAGCATGCATGGAGCATCCAGATGGCAACCCATCCTTTGCTTGAAATTCCCAATGGAGGAGAGCCCACCATTCCTCCGAACGAGTCTGTTCCACTGTCGAACAGACCTTGCCAGATCAAGGCGCAGGTCGTCCTAGCCCAGCGTTGATGCCCCTGACCGCCCGTCGTTCCAGACAGGCGCCTTTCCTCAGCCCCAACCGGAGATGCCTTCTGTCTGCCTCTACCCACTTGAGTTTGGGCTGCTTTCCAAAACGCCCAGAGAGTTTGGCTGCAGCTTAGCTGCTGCTGCTGCTGTTGTCACCACCACGTTTGGAGCAGGAGGTGTCCGTCCCCTCCCGCCTTTCTACAGATTATGTCAGGTCCACCTAAGCTAAATCCATTCCACCTGCTCAAAGGGCGGAGGCGGCCCAGGTCCAAAAGGCCCGGTGCTGCTCAATGGCAGAGCACCGGCCTTGCAGGCAGGAGATCCCAGGTTCAGTCCCGGGAGAGCAGCTGGTAATGTCCCCCGCCTGAAACCCTGGACAGCCGCTGTCAGTCAGTGTGGACAATACCGCGCTAGATGGGCCAATGGCTGATTTTGTGCAGAGCCTCTTCCCATGTTCCTGTGGCTTCATGGCCCGGGGGAAATGGAAACGTCCAAGGGACCAGGTGATGCCACTGCCTGCTTCACCCCGCTTTTCTGGACACCCACAGCCCCCCCACCCCAAAAGCCTTCCTTGTCGGACTTCATTGCCCCCTAGGCAAAAGACTCAGAGATCAGTCAAACGCTTTAAAACTGGTTGGTATCAGTGACAGGTTTCTGGGCGTCAAGCGAGCCGGAGTTCCCAGCGCCTGCTTAATCCACTGAGGGCTCTCCCTTGCGGGCACGTTAGCCTGGATCGTGTCCTGGGGGGGGGGGCGGGGAGGGCAGAGGCTGCAGGGTCCAGCCTTGAGACCTCCAAGGGGGTATTTAAGCAACTCAAGTATGTGTAGGGTCAGAGATCAGGACGGGATCCCGTGGGGAACGTGTCTGTCCCATGTGGGAAGGCTACAACGACAGGGCAAGTGGAGAATTAGCTTCGTATCTCCTTCCTCCGTCCCTCCTTCTCTCTCTTTCCATAATTTCCTTCCACAATGTTTTTTATTCATTTTTCCTGACTTCCTAGTTTTAAGCAAAGGGTTTCTCAAACAGCTGGTAAGGGGGCTCCTCCTCGTGAAAAGGGGGGAGGGATCCCCAGTCATGGTGCGTGTGAGGAGCGGCATGGTGTGGTGAACCCAATTCTTTCCCCACTCCAGCTTAAGGGGCGCCTCCTTTTAACTCGCCTCAGCCCCTTCTGCATTTCGGGACGCCGGTTTTAGGAGAGGGACATTTAATATATGCCTTCCTTGCGGAGGGAAGGAAAAGTCACGAAGAATATACGAATGTTAGGGAGGCAGTCCTGGGATTCTGAAAGGTCGAGTTCGCAAGCAAAGAAACAAACAGAACCAGCAGAGTGCCCCACAAGTCGGTATCCCTGAACTACCCTCTGTCTCTTGGCTGACCTAATGCCTCCAGGTGTTTGGCTCTACAACTCCCACCAGCTCCAGCACCGCAGGCCCTGCTGGCAGGGCGGATGTGAGTTGGAGTCCAAAACTCCTGGAGGGCACCAGGTGGGCGACGTCTGCCCTCAGAGATGTGGAAAACGGGCAAAAGGGGGCTTCATGGGACCTGGGCTTCCAACTCTGTAGGGCAAGTTCTTGAACGCTTCAAGGGCACGTCGCTGGTAAAACGGTCGTTGCGCTCATACGAATAGCATTGAGCCGCTGCCTTCAGACACGCACCCCAGCCATGAGCCATTCCTTGCTCAGGAGTTATTCGTTAGCTTGCACCCCTCTTGCAACGTTTGTTGCCGCCTTCTCTTTCTCCACCCGCCTCTTCCCATCATTTTCTGTTGGGGGAGCTGTCCCCAGAGGGAAAAGCCCCCGGAGGATCATGCTCGGGGCGCTGCTGGGCGGTGGCAGGTTCCCTTCCCTGCGGGTGCTGAAATAGAAAGCGCAGCTTGCGCGGCTTCGCTCCATCCCGGGAGCCTCTGGGGGCTGCCCTGGAGGGTCTAAAAGTACAACACTTCTCGCCTTCCTCCTGCGAGGACGGGGCCAGGCGGAAGCTCCTCCCCCCCTGCTTTCCCCAGGAGGGCTGGGAGTGGCGGGGAGGAGCCGGAGGGGGTCTCTACCCGGACCAGGATCTTTCCGCGGAGACTGCCGCTGCGCTGCCACTCCTCACTCCAGGTCGCTTCTGACTGAAGCCGCAGCCGGGCTGGGCTTGGCCCCGACGGCGCGGCCAGGGAAGGAGAGCTCTCGAGGTGCCCGCCTGGGTTGCGCGCGTCAGGCCGGCGGCGGCTACGGCCTCCGTCCTCTCCGGGCCCGCGCGAGCACATGGTGGCCGGGCCTGGCCCGGAGCTGAGCAGCCAATGGGCGCCGCGCCCGACGTGATGTCAGAGCAACGCTAGAAAAGGCGCGGAGCCTTGCGCTGGGCTGGGACTACAGCGACTCCTGCCCGGATCGCGGCTCCTCCTCCTCCTCCTCCCGGTCGCCCGGCCTGGCCCTCCCCTCCGCCAGTTGCTCGCTCGCTCGCTCGCTCCCTCCCCCGTGCCTCGGTCCCCGGAGCAGCCACCTCCGCCACCGTTGCGCCTGCCCTGCAGAGAAGTGCTCCGGTCGGCCCCGCCGCGGATCCGGCCCGTCCAGGAGCTTCGCGCCAGCCGCTGCCCGTAGGCCTCCTGCCGGCTGCCCGCTCGTCCCAAGCGCGGCGGGAGCTCTCGCCGTCCGGGCGTCCCGGGGCTGCGCCGGGGCGAGGAGGCAAGCAGGCAAGCAGCGATGCTTTGAGCCAGCCAGCCAGCCAGCCAGCCAGCCAGCGACCCCGCCATCCCGCCCTCCGCCCGCCGACTGGCCTGGCCTGAGCCGACCTCGCCAGAGGACTGAAAGCAACCGCGAAGGTAGGCAGGCAGGCAGAAAGGAGGAAGCGAAGGCGAGACGGCGCGGCCGCGTTGGAGGCATGGCGTGGCCTCACCGCGAGTAACGGGAGCGGCCGGAGGACGAGCAGGAGAAGCGCGGGACCTCCCAAGCGGCGCCCGCCGGCCACCAGCCCAGCCCTGCCATGCTCTTCCACAGCCTGGCCGGCTCAGAGATGCACGGCGTCATCGACGAGATGGACCGGCGAGCCAAAGGCGACACGCCCGCCATCAGCTCCGCCATCGACCGCGGCGAGACTGAAACGGTAGGGCCGCCGAGAAGGAGACCCCGCTCTCCGCTGCTCCGGTGATGGGCAGGCGCCAGTGGCTTCCCTCTGGTTCACCCAGGAAGGCCCAGATCCCAAAGTTTGGGGAAAGTGAGGGCAGGGGAACCCCAGATTTGCCCAGCGGCCGAGCAATTATATATATATATATATTACATATATAATTGCATTCATTTATATATATGCATTCATTTAAATAATAATAATAATACAATAATAATAATATATGCATTCATTGAAATAATAAGAATCCACTTGCAATGGAGGGAACCGAATCGGGGAAATGGGGAGAACAGTGAGCCTGGCAAGGCGGTTCACTCTGGTGCTGAGGAAAAGCGCAGCAGCTTTTCTGGGAAAAATCCTGCGTTTCAGGGGTTCGGAGTAGCTAACAATAAGGGGTGAATAAGTGAAAAAATAAAATGCATTCGTTTAAGAAATAATTTTAAGAGGGGGAGTGGCTTTGGCTGATAAATAAAATTCTTTTTCTTTCATTTTTTTGGCTTACTAAAATTATGTTTCTTCCTTCCTTTTTCTTTCTTTCCTTCTGTCTTTCTGATTCCCCATTTAAAACAAAAAAGGTAAAGTCAGTAATATCTCTATATAATTATCTATTTATATAAAAAACTATATATTAAAAATAGATTAAATTCATTCTCGTTGCGCACAAGATATTCAAAGTGACAAAGGCCTTTATTTCTTTTCTTTTTTTATGGGGCGGAAATTAGACCGTTTTTTAGTTTATCCTGTTTTTTAGTTTAAAACAAACTGACCATTCAGCAAATGGCACCCGTTCTGTGCCTCCCTTCTTTCGCCCACTGTCGCGAGGGTGGGGAGCCAGAGGCGCTGGGAGCCTCCGGTGGGCCGACGGCTCCGAACCCTTCTCGGTTCGAGGCTGGCGCTTCCACGCTCAGGCCTGGGAAACAATAAATAAATGCTTGTACCGATTTCATGTGTTTTATCTTATTTTGGGATTTTATTGAAAATGGAGAGGAACCGATTTATATTAATCAGAACATGACATTTGCAGTCGCCTTTTTAGTCACTATCCTCCCGTTTTGATTTCGGATATTTTTGGAATTTGCTAAGTGGAAAAGAAATAGAGCGGGAATTATTACTTTGCTTTATTATTATTATTTTTTAAAAATCGGGTTTCTTTTTTTGTTTTATTTTTGGGTGTTTGTCCCCGTTTTGCTCTTTAAACCGTTTTGCCCCGTTTTGCTCTTTTCTTCAAAGGTGGAACGGATAACTCAGAAATTGGATAAATTAGCCGTCGGGTGTCCCGATGCCCGAAATTCTGGGGTTGCTTAAGAGGGGCGGTTTTAAGAGAATTCCCCAAGCCTCGGCCCCTGTTTTGCCGTCTCTTCTCATTTTTACGCATTAGTTTAAGGAACTAAAAGACTCCACAAAGACAACAACCCAGCTGGGTTCAATTTGCAAATCTATTTTTTTTTGTGGGGGGAAACATGAAACAAAACTTGGGACATTTGTTTGTTTTGTAACAAGCGCAAGAAGGCATTTGAACACGCATTTCGTTCATTCGTTTGACTTAAAGAGGGATAGGGAAGCAGACGCGGACTTAGGCAGCAATCCTATTCCTTCTGGAGAGGAAGCCCGCTTGGACTTACTTCCTAGTAGGCACGCACAGGATCGCGCCACATGTCGCATCGAAATGTTTTGCGCCTTAAGCCCAGGGCTGAAAATGCTGCGCATGTTTACTCTGAAGGAAGTCGCACCGAGCTCAGTGGGGTTTACTCCCAAGCAAGCGCAGGTCAGCTGGCAGCCCGAAGCGGCTGAGGATCTAAATACTTTCAGGAAGACTTGGGTGTGTTTTGTGCAAAAGCGGCTTTCGAAACTCCCTTCTCTTTTTCCTTTCCCCTTTCTTTAAAACAGTCCGAGATTTGTTTACTACTAATTTTTATTTATTCTTTTCGTAAGCAATGTAATGCATTTTAAAATCACTGCTTGTTTATGTTTCATTCTGCAAGGATTTAAGATCGGGCTGCGATGTCCGTCGATTACGTTTCCTTTTAAACCCTCAGATTTTTATTTTCTTCCAGTTTCGCAGCCAAACCTCTCCTGCTCTGCAGCCCTGCCCTCCCCCGCCGGCCTTAGCCTTGCGTTGCTTCTCTTCTCCCCGCCGCCCCGCATTTCGCACCCCTCCCTCGGTGTGGCACAATCCAGATTGAGAGCGGGAGAAAGGACGGGTTCAACGGTCGCTTCCTTCTCACTAATCCCACCTTTCCCTCCTTCCCTCTCTCCCAGGGGCCGTTTTGGTGGGCCTGGACTGAGGTGCGGCTTCATTCTAGGCGCGTGGGGTGGGGGGGAAGAGAAGCGCTTTTTCTCTTAGCTCTTTGGCTTCGCAGTTTCTCTCTCTCCCCCCCACCGCCCCCCACCCAGCCTGGGCTTCTGGTCTGGGCAGCTCCCGCGGGCCAGGCCCCCAAGAGCGCTTCCTTTGGGCGAGTGGGCGGGAGCGGTGCTTTTTGTGGCTGACAACCCCCCCCCAAAAAAAACCCTCTTCTCTCTTCCCATCCCGGGGTGGGACCCCCTGTCCCCGGCCCTTGCTTCAGCAAGGAAGGGGAGACGAACCCGAGAAAGGCCTGGGGGCTGAACTCCGCGCCCGGGCCTCCTCGGCGTCCGGCTCCCTAATCAGCGCGCGCCTTGTCTGTCTGCTCCCTCCCTCCGCAGCACGCCATGCCCTCCATCAGCAGCGAGAGGGCCGCCTTGTGCGCGGGCTGCGGGGGGAAGATTTCGGACCGCTACTACCTCCTGGCGGTGGACAAGCAATGGCACATGCGCTGCCTCAAATGCTGCGAGTGTAAACTCAACCTGGAGTCGGAGCTCACCTGCTTCAGTAAAGACGGCAGCATCTACTGCAAGGAGGACTACTACAGGTAAAGCCCCCGGGCGGAGGGGGAGGGCAGGGCAGGCAGGGCAGGCCCGGCCGGGGACCGCTGCGACTTTCAGCCTACCACCACCACAACTAGCCACGATGGCTACTAGCCACCAAGGCTAAGCGGCGCCTGTGCCTCCACAGCCGTGCCAGTAAATGCTTTGTTACTGGAAAAGGCAGGAGTCCGAACCTGCTGGCGGGTTTTGCAGAAGAGGCATCTGGTCCGGGACTGTGAGATTAGGGTGCTGAACTAGACGCCCCACCGGCCTGATCCAGCATTCCGCTCTTACTGTGTTCTTAGGTTCACTGCCCCGAATGCAGCCTGATTTGGCAATCTCTCCTTTGGAGAGGAGACGCGTCATGGCCTGAGCTCAGTTCTCCATTCAATGGAGCGAGAGGCCCAGGCCCCCTGAATCGTACAGAAAGTACCCACGGCCTCCTGCCTAACTATGGGGAGGAGGAGGCATGGGGGCGGCGGCGGCTGCCAGGCTAGAGAGTGCTTAGGCCGGGTCGAGGCCCCCTTAATTCGGGCATCCTGGATGGCTGCAGCGAGTATTGCGTTTCTGTGGTAGTGCACTCCAATGGGGCCTCATCCATAATAAGTTTGGGCTGGTCAAAATCTAAGCGGGCATTCAAGCAAAGAAAGCCCTTCACCACTCGCCTCTTCCTTCCGCTCACTGGATCCCATGGCTTTGGGGCCTGCCTGACTTTCCATAGAGGTGCCCCCCTCCAAAAAAGAAAAAAGAAAAAACAGTGGAAAATAACTTGTAGGAAGAGAGGGGAGGGGTGAAGGGTGCGTGACCGCTGAAACTCCCGGGAAGTTTGGGGTTGACGCCGCTTGCTTCAGTTGCTCAATAGTTTCTCAGCGCACTTTGCGATTGTAAGCACCTCGCGAGAAGGGACCTTATAGTTCTGTCCATGTGCCCTCTATATGTTAAAGATAGCAGGGACCCTCTCCACTGCGCTCCTGAGCCTCTCTCTTTCTGAATCTCCCTGCAGGAGATTCTCGGTCCAGCGCTGCGCCCGTTGTCACTTGGGCATCTCTGCCTCCGAGATGGTGATGCGCGCCCGGGAATCGGTTTACCACTTGAACTGTTTCACCTGCTCGACGTGCGCCAAAATGTTGACCACGGGCGACCACTTCGGCATGAAGGACAACCTGGTCTACTGCCGGCTGCACTTCGAGGCGCTGCTCCAGGGCGAGTACCAGCTGCACTTCAACCACGGCGAGGGCGCCGCCGGCAAAGGCCCAGCTCTGGGCGCCGCCGCCGCTCTCGGCCTGCCCTACTACAACGGCGTGGGCACCGTGCAGAAGGGACGGCCGAGGAAGAGGAAGAGCCCCGGGCCCGGCGCTGACTTGGCCGCCTACAACGCAGGTAAAGGGAGCGGGCGGTGGCGGGAGGCTCGACGGGGCGGTCGGAGCTGGGGGTTCTGAGCGGTGCCTTTTTAGAATGCGCGTGCTTGGAGGGGGAAAATCGGGGCGCCTTGGAGCCCCTCTGGTTGTGCTATGGAGGGGGTTGAGTGGGGCGCTCTGCCGGGCGTGTGACTGCTCAGCTTTTGCAGGGGCTGGATGAAGCCCAGTTGCGCCGTTTTTGCGCCGAACGGGGAAGGGCGTGGGGCATCCCAACCCGAAACCGGAGGCGCGGGAAATGGTTCAGGGAAGGGGCGCGACTTCGGAGTAGGGGAAAAAGCAACTGCGGGGAGCCACTTCGGATTGGCTGGCAGAGTAAAAGGCATGATGCCAAAGGATGGGCTCAGAATGTTGGATTATTTTTTCTTTTTTTGGGGGGGGGTGTTGTAAAACAGAGGGGGCTGCTTATGAAACGCTGGTGCTGCAAAACAAGCTTTTCGCGCGCTCTGAGCTGTTTGAACCCGGGACCTTTCTCCGCGCCTGAAAATCTCTTGTATCTGGCAGAGCAAATATGAGAGGTTGGGGGGGGGAGCAGGGTGGAACTTCCTAAAATGAGTTGCTGGCATCCCTGGGGAAGAAGGCTTCCCTTCCCTTCCTCCCCTACAAACGAGACCCCGAGATCTGCGTTCCTTCAGAGAATGGTAGTTTCCGCGGAGGCGCTTCCTCCTTTTCCAGCCGCCGCTAAACTTCGAAATGTTTCTTGAGCTCCTTTTAAGCGACGGGACCAGAAATAACGCGGAGAGGGGTTGCTGGAGCGGGGAAAGGCTGCGATCCGAAGTATTGGTGCGCTGAAGCGGTAGCAGGGAGAATTTAGAAAGCTGTTTCGTTTTGGTTTAAATTTCCTTATATAACATGAACAAAAAACCCCGAACCTAATGGAGTTTCTTTCTGAAAAGGCCATCACACCTACCCAAAATAAATGACTTGCATTATCACTTTCGTTTTAAAAGAAAATTCTGATTTAACAGTTTCCCTCCATTGTTACTGTTGTTATTATATTTTATAAATATAACAATATTATTATTCGCCAAAATATTGGGAACGCCTCATCTCCCCAATGCGCCGAATTTGGTATTTTTGAACCTAAATTATCCAGTAAACTGGAGCTTCTTCCGGCGGGTCTTTTGCGGCCTTTGCCTCTCCTTCCCAGCGTGGGGGCGGCGGCGGCGGCGGCGGCGGGACCTGCGGCTCTGGTCCTGGAGACGCGATGGGCTGTGACAAGTGGAAAGCGGCTTAGAAAGGCGTCCGGGACTTCAAAAACAGCCCCCTCCTAACCCTTTCTCGGCGGCAGCCTCCCCCCTCCCCCAGCTGTTACACGAGGCCGCTTTGTGGTCCCGAGTTCACCCTTCCGTGCAAAAATATGTGTTTAAGGGAGAAGGGGGATATTTTGTGTGCCTGCATGTATGCGATATTTAGATATTGATGAATGATAGGTATTTTATATTTCTTTAATATTATAATGTATCTGTGATTGATTTTCAATGCGTTGCGAGGGACCTTTAGGTAACAAGTGAGGAAGAAGCCTAATGAATAATAATATGTCTTTATAAGACAGGGGTTTGTTGGAGAGTGGGAGGGGGCTTGTGGACTGGGGGCTCCACCAGGGCATGGGTGCATCTGTGGGTACAATAGCTACTTCTTCACTGTCCCTACCCAGATGTGTAAGGCTTTTAAGGAGGGACTCTTAGTAGCCCCTCCCTCTGCACAGACATTGCCAGGTAAGGTGCTGAGTTGAGACTGTAAATTCCACACCGCCAGTTTCAGGTAGCTGAGCAACTTGTAGTGTGGGAAGAGCTTCCTGCCCAATGTTCTCTCTTCTGGAATCTAGATGTGACAAAGTGGGGGGGGGAGGACTGTCCATATTCAGAGCTGCTGCTCTCCCTGCTTTTTCAGGAGAGGCCTCCTCTGCTGCCCAAGCAGGACCTATTCCCTCTCCCCCGCCACCTTCCAGGGTTTGAGGGGGGGGGGTCCTGGGAGCTAGGATCTTCCCACTCTCTATTTCCCTTCTTACAGCCAGTGTGTAAGGTTGGCACCACACCTTTTTAAAGGTGGGGGGATGTGCCTACTCGGAAGCAAGGCCCATTAAGCCAAAGGGGTCTTCTTTACAAGTCAGGGCATCAATCACTTAAAAATAATTATATACTGCTTAATTTAATAAAAACTTCTAAGCGGTTCACAAGAAACTTTGAGAATATCAATAAAATACTGTTGCAAACAAGTAATATATATATATATATATATATATATATATAAACCAGGAGTAAATTAAGGAGAGATTTAAAGGTGTCAGTATCTGCATGTCTGGGTAGGCTTGCCTAAACGAAAATGTTTTAATCAGGTGTGTCAACACCTAGACATTCTGTGTCCCACTTTCAGTTATTGGCAGAAAATGCAAACTGAGTTGGATAAAATATATGGGTCTGGAGAAATGGGTGAAAATTCCCCAACCTTCCACCCCTTTGATGCTGACCCTCCCCCTCCCCCTCCCCTCTCTACAGGAGCCAGTGCATGTGTTGTTGTTGTTGTTGATGATGATGATGATGATGAGCAGTGTGAGAGAGATGGGTGTACTTCACAATGGCCACATCCCCTTCTCTAGTTCATATGCACAATGAGAGCAGCAGGTTGGTTGCTGGGCCCCCCTCTCACCTTGCCTTGGCTCCCCCCCCCCACTACTTGCTTGTGAACATGATACCAGTCTTCCTGGGTCTGACCTCTCCAGATCCATCTCAACCCAGCACCTCGATTTCAGCTGCAGAAAAGCTCAGCAGTGGTGCCATTTAGTCATTTTGGACTTTGGATGTAACAGCCTTTACTTGAAAAAAATGTGGCTAGCTAGTCAGGCTGCGTTTGAGCCTCCTCTTCCCTTCAGGGGGACCATGCTGACACCATTGTAGCTAGATGCCTCTCTAGGATGCTTAGCTGAGGGCCCCTGGGGGTGTTGTTAGGGGATGACATAGGGGGTTGAGGTCCAGTCTTTTGCATTGGGACGCATATTCCACGCCCGCTTTAAGCAATTTTTGAAAGGACTTTGCTTACAGTGACCTGGCATGCTTTAAAATGCAATGCCTATGAGATCCCACCATCCAAGCACTCCCTGTTTGCACATTTATCTCCCCTCCAGAAACTTGCTAAATCTTTGGTTAAAGCTCCCTAAGTGAAGAGCCACTGCTCTATCTTGCTGGTGGCAGTGAGGCTGTGGGACGTTACATCATGGTGGAGCCCCCTCTGGGTTGCAAAGGGTGGGTACCACAGCCTCTCAGCCAAGGGGGGTTGAGCTGGAGCCAAGCTGCAAGAGCTTTCTGTATAGGGGTGCGTCACAGGGGCAATGACACCCACACTTTGGGCTTTCCAGCTAAACTAGAGCTGGGGAGCTTGGGGCCACGCAGATGGCTGTTGGACCCCAGTGCCCATTAGCCTTGGGCCATTCTGTGGCTGATGGGAGTTTGGAGTCCAGCAACATGGCAGGGGTCCAGCTCTGGCAGGGGGAGTAGGGATTGGCATGGACCTGAACTGGAAGCCAATCACATCTAAGCAACTGGGGGGTGGGGGAAGGGTTGGCTTGTGACAAATGAGGGCATGAACATGAGCAGAGCGCCGCTCTGGATCTTCATCTGGGCCACACTGCTGAGTAGAGTGGTCACCAGTGGCTGGAGCGGCAATTGGAGGGACTATGTGAAGAGCAGGCTGTTCCGCGGAGGCCAAGCCAAGTTCTGCAGCTCAGTTTTCCCAAGCAGTTCCAGATGCTCCTGTCTTGGTAGGGGGTATGTGTGGGTGGGTTGTCTGGGTGTGTTTCCAGGCTCCTACTAAGCCACAGGCAGCCATATCTAAAGTTGGGGCAAGGCTTTCCCACAGTTCTTTCTGTTATGCCTCCCCACCCACCCCAGTTGCCTCTTGCCTTTCAAGACCCACTGCTCCCCAGAACATTCTTCTCCAGGTGTTGCAAGCAAGCTTTCCATTGACTGGCCATAGAAAAGCCTGGGTTCCCAGAGCCTGTGGCAACACTGGTGGAAAAGGAATGTTATCTCCACAGAGGAACCCCACTCCCAAACTGGCCAAAGTTCCCTCTCCCCACCCCTTCATCATGCAATGCCACTTTGTGTTAAGAATGTTTATCTTAAGTAGCAGAGATGAGCTGGGAGCAATCCTGTGAAAGTGGTGTTTCACAAGTCATGCTGATGACTCTGCAGGCTTCCAGAGTGCACTGCTCTACTTAATCCAAAGCACAGTGGGCAAAGCTTGTGAGCTGAGGGGGTGCTATGGGCGCTTACACTAGTCTCTCTCTTTCTCAATCTATGTTACTGAAAAAGTTTAAATCCCTAAACGACCCTCTTCCTTTTCTGATCTGCAGTGCCCATCCACAGCCTGACTTGTTTTTTGTTTTCAGCTCAAGCCTTCCAGGTGCAGGAGTGGGCGGGTGGGTGATGGGTGCCCCTTCCCCTCCCCCCCGGAAAATCCTATCTCCTAAACTTGGCTCAGGCTGACTCGTCTTCTCCCTCCCACTTTCCACCAGGCCAAGTGCCCATCTGGAACTATTCGCTGGGAACAAGATTAAACTAAGGCCTCATTAATTCTTTGTCTTTGCAGGCTGGTGGGGATGCTTTGGGTAGAAAAGTGACCAGTTCTTGGTCTTTGGGGTTTATTATTTTTTTAGCGGGGAGGGGAAGCAAAGGGTGCGCGGGGAGCACGGCTGGGTATTGTGTTCTTCAAGGGTGCAAACAGATCAGGAACACGGACTCTTTAGCGGGTAGAGCAGTCAGCTGTTGTGGGGATTTGTGCAGAAGACCTCTGCTTCCACTTGCCCGCTCCCTGGCCCAAGTCTTGCCATTCTGAATGGAGGCCTCCCGAGGACCTGCTGATTTGAGATGTTCTGTGACTGTGTGTGCTTATTCTCCCTCCGTGATGGCTTGTGTTTTGTTGGCAATTAAACACAGAGTGAACAATTGATTGAATGGATTCTGAGAGGATGCAGCAGTCCTTGGATGTGTCACCTTTGCAGACTTTGATGGAAGGAGCTGGTCTTTCTCTTCTGCTAGCATTTAACATCCACTGAAGGGGGGAGTCACCTCTGCCCCCAGTCCTAGGGAGTCCTGGGTCTCTACACAGATGGAGACCTCTGTCCAACCTCGTTTGAGTTTCCAGGTCAATCTCTCCAATCTCTTGGGTTTTGCTGTCCTCCCCATCTTGCTACCAGTTCCCTTCTTGCCAAGAATATGCAAGTCCTTTTGGGCCTTATGTGGAATTTGATTCCTCCTTTTGCTTCTCCCAGAGAAGGCTAGCTCAGTGGTCCCCAAACGTTGGGGGGCCACCCCCTTGATTCTATAAACTCATATCCAGTGCCCCCTATGCCACCCTAGAAAAAGCACAGCCTGCTATGGAAGACAATAGCACAGTAAAATTCAAGGCTGTCACAATTAATTGCATGTTTATTCAAAATCTAATTAAAATTATTTTGTTTAATTAATTCAACAAAACTGATGAGCTTGAGCCAGTGATACCAACTTCTCAAAGACTGATAGTTATCCAGCGTCTCCCACCTGCCACCCCCTTGCAGATTAGCACCCCCAGGTAATCCCACTATCCCCTAGGGGGCACTTTCACCCACATTGGGAACCCCTGGGATAGCTGCTCATCTGTGTGGCTGACAATACCACCCACCCCCAAGGAATGTTGGTGACCATTCTGTGACACCCCACGAACTCAACACATTGAGAAGCATTGCAGACACTGGGATGTAGACTTCAGTTGTGGTTCCAGGCTGCCTCCCCCACACTCTTACATCTGCCCACACTGTACAACATGGTTGTCATCCTAGTAGGGAGACCTTTGGAGGCAGCAGCAAGGAGAGCTCATTGACAATGATTTTGTGGGAGGGGGGGAAAGACCCCACCCCAGGATTTTGCAGTCTAGGTTCTTGCTCATTTATATGCCATCTCCCCTTCAGCAAAGTGGTTGTCCAGCCCCACTGTTGTCTGGACAATCATACTGCCCCAAAGGAAGGAGGAATGTTTCCTTTCGTAGGTGGAAGAAATTGCAATATTTATTGTCAACTCATAAGCATCTTGCTCGCTTGCCCATTTCCTTCACAGAAGGCAAGATCAACTGCGTCCCTCTTGCTTCCCACATCCCAGGCTGCTTGCCTGAGCAATGTCAGGTGAAAGGGAAATTAAGCTTTCTATTACAGGGAACTAATGATCAGCCATGTGACACTGAGGGGAGCCTCTTTTGTGGAAAAGGCTCCTGGCTTCGGGAAAAGACGTTTGGAATCCATTTCAGCTCGCTGTGGTGAAGATCCTTAGTTCTCAGGGGAGTATATGCTCATTCTGACACACATCTCCCCTATTTTTTATTTGTTTTAATCCAAAATTCAGTCTTATATATACGGTACTTTTATGCAGAGGTTTAAAATGCATTTTCTCTCCCCCCCCCATGGATTAACTCAGCAAATTCTGTTTTGTTCATGTAATCACCTCCTTTTTGTCTGCTGTGGAATAAGCAAGGCAATCCCTCTTATGACCAATCCTAAGCATTTTTAAAGGTCCAACAGGGTACTGGATGCAATACACCACATGCAAGATGTTTGCAAGTAGCTGCTAGTCTTTTACATCAGGCAGACAAGGCTGGGATTTTGCTGTGGCATGTTTAGGTGGTGTGGGCAGCTCAAGGACTGGCTCCAGACAAGCCCTGGCCCCCACCCCAACAGCTGCATTCCATGGTCACAGTATTGCTTGCAGTGTTGAAGAGAGAACTCTGGAGTGCCGCTTTTAGAGCATTTCCTCACACTGTCTTCAGGAACATCGCACAGAATTCACAACTGCACAGACATTGCATTGAAGTTTGCCTCTTGGGTCATGCACAATTTTATCACCTCCCGCAAGAATACTTATGTGCCAATGCAGATCTTGTTATGTATATTGAGGGGAACAAAACAAAACCAGGTTTTACTTTGCAGACTTTTGAACTATGCAGGGTTATTGGATCAAGCAGGCTAAGGATCCTGTGTAGTTCTAAACTTTGCTAGCAAAGCCAAATTTCCTGCCATCTCCCGTCATTTGTATGATTTCTTTTCTGAGACCAGATATGCCAAGCAGTATGGGGGATGCGCCTTCCTGTGCGTTTCGGGGTTGAGAGCTGGGAATGGAGCCTCAGGGTTTGGGGAGAGCGTACCTTTTCAGTGGGCAAAATAGGGAGGGTTGGCTATCTTGCTTTCCCAGAGGGTAGCTGAGGGTTGCATCTGGAGACTAAGAGCCATGACAGCAGATTCTGTGGTTTGATCTGGCATTGTGTATAGGTGTTTACGCTAATCTTTAAATCCCCAAATGACTTATTCCCCAAATATATGAGAGGCCACCTCCTTTCCTACAGATTCCCTTGGGAATTAAGATGCGCAGAGAGGGCCCTCCCGGTAGTTCCACTTTCCTCAGAAGCTCCAGGGGGGGGGGGGGCTGGTGGCCAGGAGAGGGTCTTCTCTGCGGCAGGTCCTAAGTTGCAGAATCCCCTCCCCACAGAAGGTGCCTGGCACATTCACTACAGAGTCTTGTTTTGTTTCTGGAATGTTGAAGCCTCATCTCTTCACATTGTCATTTGACATCTGAGGGGTACGTGCGCGTGTTCGGGATCCACCCTGCTCCTGGTACCATGATCTTTTTAAACTGTTCTTAATTCTAAATTGTTGTAAGCCAATTTGGGACATTCTTGTGAAGGACGAGTAATCAATTTAGTATTTGTTGTTGTTTTGTTTTGTTGATGATGACGACGATATGTTATTTCTTTTGTCCTTTATAACTGCATTATCAAATGATGTTTTTCCATAGGAGTCCATGAGAAGAGGGCAGGTGACAGTCATGTACCTTTGCTTTAATATATTTGGTGAATGGAAGCCAAGCGTCAGAAAAGTTGCCCTTCATTTTCTGATAGGATGTGTTCTTTCTTGGGGGGGGGAGTTATCCACGGGGCCTTTGCCTGCAGCAGTAGACACCAACCACTGAAACCCCCCCCCCAGACTGGCCATTCCTTGCAAACCAGCTGCTCTGCATGCATTCCAGTGCCTTTCCATAGCATTAATGAGCATTTGGCCACTTAAGGCAGAGCATGCATGACTGAGATTACTGCAGATCTGGGAATCCTGGTATAATCGGTAGATTTTAAGCAGGATAAATAATTTGCATTTGATATAAGGTTGTGTGTTGGTTTGGATCCTTGTTGGAAGTACACAGGATCTGTGATGATGGACAATTTCAAAAGCAGATGCGTTTCGACAGCTGGATCAATAATTCACATTCTAATGCTCTCAGGATAGATATTTATCTGATTCACCCGCCTTTTTTCTTAGTCATTTCATAGAGTGGATAAAGAATTGTCAAGGGAGACCATAAAATGAAGCTTCCTGAGAACCCCCCCCTTATTTCAACATACCTGAAAAAGCTAGTTTATGGGAAATTGATAAGCGCCGATAACACATGTTAATGACAGAATATCCAAACAACCAGATGCATTGCTAAATTTTCTCTGAGTGTTTGCTATTTTTAAATAGGAACTTTTTGTGTTTGGTTCTTGGAAGGTGTAGAGGCATTTTTTATGTAAAAAAACAAAAACCCTTTTAATATGCATGCATATTATGCTTGCTGTGCAAATTGCAGCTCCATTTGTTAATTATTGTAAAGTTCCTTTGCCTCTTTGTGGAAGCTTCATTAGTGAATTTTTGTAGCCATAAGAGGGAGTCTTGATCTAAATTGTTTCTAGTAAACACATGGGGAGGGGGAGGGGGAGAGGAAACAACAGATTCCTTCAAGGGAGTTTGATTTTTATTTTTTTTAATGGAGTGCAAATGTGGATAGTTACTTGCAGCTTCTGTTTGGTCTTTGGTATAAGTCAAACCTCCTTGGAACTGTTCCCTGCCCGCTCACCCCCAACTTTATGTCAAATTATATCTGGAATTTGCTGTCAGGTGTACACAGCCTCTCTCCATCTACCCTCCCCTCTTTAAATGGTGTTTTATTTAAGGGTCTCTTTTGTGCTCTGTGTAGCTGAGTTTGGTGGGAAGAATACTGAGGGCCTGAATGAGTTTTTTCCCGCCCCCTCTTGAAGGTTAAGTGGACGTGGTGGGCTGTGGGTCTGCAGCTGCACAATGCAGAGTGACAGTGCTTTAAAACATTTTTTTGCAAAGTTGTTCTCATGCTGTCTGGAAATGCGGAGAGGAAGGGGGGGGACAGAGATGCCTTTTCTGCTCTTGCAGATGAGAAAAGAGAGAGCCACCTGTCACTGCAAAAGTGCAGGTGAGGGTTCTTGTAGCCCTATAAGTGTATGGAGAAGAAAGAGAGGAGGGACTGAAAGGGCTTGATAATACTTGCCCTGGCCTTGCTTCTTCAGTAGCTATGATGACTCGCTCTCCTCCCCCCCCTACCCCGTCCTTGTTTCCTCCCAGCTTTGAGCTGCAATGAGAATGACGGGGACCACCTGGACCGAGACCAGCAATACCCCAGCAACCAGAAAACGAAGCGCATGAGGACATCGTTCAAACACCACCAATTGCGGACAATGAAGTCTTATTTTGCTATTAACCACAATCCGGATGCCAAGGACTTGAAACAGCTTGCTCAGAAAACAGGCTTGACCAAGAGGGTTCTCCAGGTAAGAGAGGATGTGGGGTCTTCTGTGTCATCTGGAGGCGCATAGGAGGTTCGGATCTGCTATGGTGCACGTTTGGTAACTTCTCTTCAAAACCTCTGAAGGGTTTGCAAAAATTGTGCAGTCCGGCCAAGGTTCCTGGCGTCATCCGTTCCTTAAGCGCAGGCAGGTTGATCAAGCCATTTTGATATACTCCTGCACATGGGGAGTGAGCTCCCATTCACGGGTTCATGGATATGGGCTCCCAAAGTGAAGCCCCTGTGACTCACAACAATTCTGTGCCCTTGTGAATGCCTTTTGTTGTAGCTGAGAGATTAAAGATGTGTCCTGTCTTTGCCTGATGCGTGAACTGCGGTGCTTTTGGAGTGTTGCAAGAGGTAGAAGCCACAGCTGTGGAAATAATACCTTGTAGGTTCTGGCAATACTAACCCCTGTGTGTGCTCTGTGCTGATGCTTGTCTGCCTACTGCCATTGTGATGCTTGCTTTTCCAAAACATATCTGTGGTGCACCATCAGGAGAATGTTCCCAAGGCAAACTGGGTTGTGCCTGGACTGTCTTGCACTTGGCGACGGGGGGGGGGGGGTCGACAGCAGTGCCTCAGAGGAGAAAGGATATTTAGTTAGGGCACTGCCAGCTTGTTTGCAGGATCCTTTGGCACTGCCTCTTTGAGGCTGCAGCTTCTGGCTTTTGCCAGCTGACCCCATCATTTCAAAAATGCTGTCAACCGCCTGCACCCGATGATCTCTAGCAAACTTGCAGCATTTGGGGGGGGGGCATTGCAGGCTGACTTGGGAGACAGGCCCATGATGCAAATTTGCAGATTAGTTATTTCAATTTATAGCTTGCCTTTCATCAATGAAAGGTTTGCAAAGCGGGTAGCAACAATTTTAAAAAGCTATCACAAGGTTGAAAGTATCTGCAATAAAGCACAATATTAAACAGCGCGTGCTCTCATGCTAATTTACGATTTACTAGCAGCCTCATACCTGAAGATGCTTGGAAATTAGAAATAAATAAAAAAGCAGAGCAGTTTTGAAAGCAGCATGAAGCTCTGCCACTGGGCAGCAGATCTAGGGCCCACTGCAAATGACCTGGGGCTGCTAACAAAACACCCCTTATGACTGCCACTTTGCATTTCTGTTAGAAATAGCATGGCAGCAAGGACCTGTGTTGGTAGTGATTCAGTTAGGCCTCTCCTGCTGTCACTTGCCATGCCGACAGTGGTGCCTCTGCCTGCAGGAGCGGAGTGTGTCGCAGCTGCTGGTGTTCGCCTATGCTGCCCCACAGAGCCAGGTGCTGCCCGAGAAACCCAGCGCTGGGCTCTCAGCTACGTCGCTGTAGCTGCACACGCCAGGCCTCACCCTTCTTCTGGATTGCCTCATGCTTAGCATAGCTGCTACCTGCCCCAAACCATGCGCAGCGCAGCACCAGTATCACAGTTTGTGACCTGCAGTTCATCCATAAACATGAACCAGAAAAGTTTGAAAATGCTGTTTTTTCACCAGCAGCTCCTGTGTCTAAGGGGAATCTAGATGAGGAGAGGTGACTTTTGGGCTGGGTGATTGCTGATGTTTCAAGTCCATCCGGATGCAGATCATGCCACCTGGGAGTGTGTTTTTTCTTTTCCCTGGGGAAGGGAGTGTCCCCCACCCAGGGCTAGTTCTGAGTTCAATGATTTTGTGGTCAGGTGGTGGCAACCACCTAGGAGGAGAACCTGTGGGGCTTGGAGCTTCTCTGCATGTGGTCAGCTGGGCTGGAGATTTGTAGAATCTTCCCTGATGCATCAGCAGAAATGTGTGCTGCATGTATGGTGCACTTACATGCAAGATTTGGGAAGGCAGGACTTTCCATATTGTTGGCATCAGTGCATGTAATCTGGTGCCCTGGCGATGTTTTGGGTGACAGCTGCCATCAAAGCAACAGAGGCAGCTGCTTTATACTGAGTTAAGTCACTGGTCCGTCTATCTCAGTATTGAGATATCTGCACTGACGGATAGCAGCTCTACCAGGGCTTCAGGCAGAGTCCTTTCCCCACTTTCCCCTTGAGATGCTAGGAATTTAACTTGGGATGCCCTGCCCAGTGAGCCATGGTCCTTCACATCAGCCTCAGCCATCATGGCCAATGGAGAGGAGTCATGGGAGCTGTAGTCTGTGAATGGGTAGAGGGCACCAGGGTGGCAGAAGGTGGCCTAGGCTCAGTGATGTTGAGGAGGGTGAGCACATTGGATCCAGCTATGGGGGCAGGAATAATGATGACATTTGCCAAAGCAGCTGATGGATTACATCCTCCTTGAACAGGCAAGTAGGTGAAGTGACAATGAGGCTTTCAAGTTTTGCTATTGCTTGTGATATATTAGCATAGAGGAAGTAATGATAAAACCAGCTTAGTATTATATGATGCTCATCCAATCTCAATAAATTCAGCGTTTTGTTTTGTGCTACTGTTGCTTGGTGACCAGTGACCCTACTTGGAGGTGTGGCTATGAGGACTGTCCTGATGAGCTCTTGCACCTCAGAAAATAACCACTAACTCACTGCATGAGTTGAATTGTTCCCGGAAAAAGCAGAAACTGATTTGGCCTTCTTGTGTGTTGCTTCTGCCGAACATGAGTGGGAAGCTTTATGTTTCTGTCTAATATTTTGTTTACCAGCTTGCTGTTAGGCTCAAAGTTGATCAGGATCCTTTCCTGTGTCTCTCTGGGTGGTTTGCTGTTGACCACCAAGGGGTTTCCAATTCCCAATGGTCTAACGATGGCAACAGAGACTGCCTGCCCATGAGGCGAAGTGAGGCAACCGCCCTGGACAGCCGGATCCAGAGGAGTGGCTGATCTGACCTCCGAGGAACACGATGCCCACTGTTGCTGCCATGGTAGCAGCGACAACATATGCCAAATCTGCCCCCTCCACAGCAACAAATAGGATGTGATGGTGGTCTCCTGCCACCCCTAGAGAGGAAATGGCAAGGGCTGCCCTCTGGGGTCTCCTGGGGTCTTTGCCCACCTGGTGTGATCCAGAGAAGACCCCTTTCCCACTGTGACGGCCCTTGACTCCAAGTTCAGACTGCTGGGTGAGGCTGATTTGATCCTCGCTGCCCTGTTCCCGACACAGATCTTCACTCACTCATCCTTCCTGGATGAGAGGGGGCATTTTGTGGTTTGCCTCAGGTACCAAAATGTCTTAGGCCTGTATAGCAACAACCAGTAAACTTACCTTCTCTATAAATTAGGCTGCTGGGTTGAAAACTGGGAGTGGATTGTTGTGTGAAAGGACCCGTGGAATTGGTTTTGGTACTGATTGCAAATTCCTGGGCTGACCATGTGCATGCACAGAGACAACCTGCTCCTCAGTTCCTTGCGTAGGTCCACCCAGCTGAAGAACTCTTATTCCTCTGGCTGCAGTTGGTGGGTAGCAGCAGAGTTTCAGTCTAAAACAAAACAAACAAAACAAGACTGAACAAGCCTGAAGCCCTCTCACCCCTGTTGTACTGGGTGCTGAGCTACTGCTAATCTAGCTCTCTGTTTTCAGAGTCAACCAGTGGTGCTATTTTACTCTACAGAAGGTTAAAGTTTCAAGACTTCCTGGGGAGGTGAAATTTTGAAGATTTTTAAGTAGAAGTTGAGTGGCCATCTGTCATGGATGCTTTAGTTGAGGTGCCTGCATTGCAGGGGGTTGGACTAGATGACCCCCAGGGTCCTTTCTAACCCTACAATCCCTTCCCCAACACCATCACCATATATATATATATATATATATATATATATATATATATGCTTTCGTAGATTTTCACGGGTACAGGAATGCAGGTTTTGGTGTCCTCGGGTGTCTTCCCGTGTAAAAGTTGGGGTGTCTAGGCGACGTTTCGACGAGGTCTCACTCGTCATCTTCAGGCTGGTGCTTTCGGCTTCTTGTTACTGGAACAGAGCAGGATCTCAGTGTTTGAGTTCCTATAAATACTGTTTAGGGGGTGTGGTGTATAGCCTCCAATGTTCTGGGCAGAGAGGAAGTTCCCAGGCTAGTGTGCCTTTTCTTCTTTTGTTCCTTAATTACTTAAGGAACAAAAGAAGAAAAGGCACACTAGCCTGGGAACTTCCTCTCTGCCCAGAACATTGGAGGCTATACACCACACCCCCTCAACAGTATTTATAGGAACTCAAACACTGAGATCCTGCTCTGTTCCAGTAACAAGAAGCCGAAAGCACCAGCCTGAAGATGACGAGTGAGACCTCGTCGAAACGTCGCCTAGACACCCCAACTTTTACACGGGAAGACACCCGAGGACACCAAAACCTGCATATATATATATATATATATATGGATGACGCTGTGGTCTAAACCACTGAGCCTCTTGAGCAGGTCAGCGGTTCAAATCCCTGTGACGGGGTGAGCTCCTGTCGCTCTGCCCCAGCTCCTGCCAAACTAGCAGTTCAAAAACACACCAGCGCAAGTAGATAAATAGATACTGCTGCGGCAGGAAGGTAAACAGTGTTTCCATGTGCTCTGGCACTTGTCACAGTGTCCCATTGCACCAGAAGCGGTTTAGTCCTGCTGGCCACATGACCCGGAAAGCTGTCTGTGGACAAACGCCGGCTCCCTCGGCCTGAAAGCAAGGTGAGCACCGCAACCCCATAGACTGGACTTAACCTTTACCCCCCCCTCTCTCTCTCCACACACACACACACACACACACACACACACACACACAAGCAATGTGTAAATTTTATTAGATTTCCTCTGAAAAGGGCAAATCTGAATTAAATTGGGTAGAAATGCAGGATGTTTGCATGTTTCTGGACACCGCAAAAGCCTTGCAGGCGTTAGCCGCACCAATTTCACAGCGAACACCTGCCTGGAAGCACTCAAAAGGAATAGCGAGGTAATAGAGGATGGAAGCCTGAGCACCACCTGCACATTTATGAAATAAAATATCACATTTCCAGAAACAGATATCCTGTTTAGCCAACCTGCTTTGGTGCATCAGTTTCCCCGATGAATTGCGACTGCC